GGGTGACCCCCGGCACCCCGAATCCAGTGGTCGGTGCTGGGGGGGGTGTGAGTGTCAGGTGGGCAGCAGGATGGGGCTTTCCAAATGTGCTGTGTGCCCAGATGTGCTGCCACTACCAGGCCAAGGCACTGCAGCTGCACCCCAGGGCAATGTGGGATGTCCCTGCTGGTGACAGGGGCAGTGGGCAATGCTGCACCCCAAGTGTGGCTGTGCCAGCCTGGTGACCCAAGGATCAACCAAGCAGGATTAATGCAGCACTGGGTGGGGGGAGGGGGAGAAAATCTTGTCACCCCCCCCCCACCAGTGTCCCCCGTAACCTGCAGGCAGCCCTGGTGGGGGGGACAACGATGGGGATCGGCCACGTCCTGCCAGACCAGGAGACCTCACTGCTGGAAGCCTACGAGAAGTGCCGTGGCTTGGCTGACCCCAAGGTCTGCTGTGACTATGCCCTGCACATGGGCGTCACTTGGTGGGCACCCAAGGTGAGTCTGGCCACTGTGGCATGGCTCCAGCCACCCCCTGCTGTGGCTTCTGCCACCCCCAGGATGGCTTTGAGCAATCCTCAGCACCTCTCTGGCCACCCCAAGATGGCTCTGGCCACCCTGGCACAGCCCTGGCACAGCCCTGGCCACCATGGTACAGCTCTGGCCACCCCGTGGCACAGCTCTGGCCACCCTCCACATTACTCCAACCATGCCCAGGACAGTTCTGGCCACCCCTAGCATGGCTCTGGCACTGGGAGCAGCTGCTGCCATTGGGGCTAATTCCCAGCCCTGATGATCCCATTAGGCACTTGGTGGGGTGTGCTGAGCCCCCCACCTGCCTCTGGAGCTGTCTTGATCCAGGCTCAGTGGGTCAGGGGTTCCTCATGGGGCAGGAGGACCACTATAGTGTGGAGCTGTGGATGGGGGAAGTGCTTGCTACTCCATGGAGGATACCGGGGTTCTCAGGCATGGTGGTCATAGCTTGGGGGTACTCCATCCTGCAGCACGACCCCAGTGGGCTCTGGCCTCTTTTAGTGCCCAGACCCCCATCTCCATGGATGCTGACCCTGGACCCCCATCTCCATGGGCACTGGCCCCTGTCAGTGCTTAGACCCCCATCTCCATGGATGCTGACCCTAGACCCCCATCTCCATGGGCACTGGCCCCTGTCAGTGCCTGAACCCCCATCCCCATGGGCACTGGCCCCAGACCCCTGTTTCCATAGGTGCTGGACAACTCAGAACGTGGAACCCCAGCCCCATGGGTGGCCCTGTCCCCATGGGCACTGGCCCTGGCGTACCCTGTGTCCCACCCAGAGCTGGGGATGGATGAGGACAGAGTGGGTGCCCCCCAGGGTGCCCCCTCAGCACCAACACACCAGAGATCCAAACCCGGGCAAGCGAAAATCTCCCAGCACCTGCCACTCCCCACATCACCTCATGGCACCCACATGAATCCCACATCCCGTGTTCCCAAGTGTGGCTCCCTGCCCCGTGGTGGGATCCCCATGTCCTGACCCCCCCATGGTGGTGCAGGTGAAGGCGGAGATGGAGACACTGGTGCGGGAGAAGGGGGTGAACTCCTTCCAGATGTTCATGACCTACAAGGACCTCTACATGCTGCGGGACAGTGAGCTCTACCAGGTCTTCCGGGCTTGCCGTGACTTCGGGGCCATTGCCCGGGTCCACGCTGAGAACGGCGAACTGGTGGCTGAGGTGAGCAACAGGGACCTGGGCCACCCTACTCCCCCCATGTCACTCCATCACCCTGATACCCACCCCTCCAAAATTCCCCTAGGGAGCCAAGGAGGCGTTGGACCTGGGCATCACTGGCCCAGAGGGCATCGAGATCAGCCGGCCAGAGGAGGTAGGTGATAACTTGATGGTGTCCCTAGATCACAGGTGGGATGTGCCAGAGCATCCCACTGTCACCAGGAGGTCTCACCAATGGCTTCTCTCCACAGCTGGAAGCTGAAGCCACCCACCGTGTCATCACCATTGCCAACAGGGTAAGGTGCCAAATCTTAAGGGTGGGCACCCTAGTTCCGTGGGGGCTCGTCTCGCCCCCCATGGAGCTGGGGCAGCCCAGGAGACAGTGACACTGACTCCCCCCAATCTCCACAGACCCATTGCCCCGTCTACCTGGTGAATGTCTCCAGCATGTCTGCAGGGGACGTCATTGCTGCTGCCAGGATGCAGGGTGAGTGGCTTGGGTGGGCACCTGTGGGAGTGGGCACCCCCCCCGCCCCATGGGGGGCAGGATAGGGGATGTCATGTGGGTTTGGGAACACAGACATGGGGCACACAGTGATGGGTACATGTGGGGAAAGGGGATTTGGATGGATGTGGACACGTGCACAGACATGGGGACACTTGCAGGGGCATGGGCACATGTGGGGACACAGCCACACACTGATGGGATATGTGGATAAAGAGGACATGGATGGACACAGAAGACACACATGGGGAATGTGGGTACCAGGAAGGTGATGGGCACGTGCAGGGCCATGTCACCTGCTGAGGCGCGGACACACGTGGCACAGGGAGCTGCAGGACTGTGGCCATGCTGGGACATGTGGGCTACTGCCCGGACAGGGATGCAGCTGGGAACAGACACAGGAACACACGTGTGCATGTGGGGGGCACGCCCCCACACACGTGTGCACACATATAACCACAGCTGGGGGCACACAGAGCAACAGCCCCCCTCAGCCCCATGCAGGGCAGCTGTGTGTGCCCTCCCTGGCCGTGCCCCTCCACCACACCTGTGTCTCTCATGGCAGGGAAGGTGGTCTATGGCGAGACCACCACGGCGCACGCCACGCTCACTGGTCTGCACTACTACCACCAGGACTGGTTCCACGCTGCCGCCTTCGTCACCGTGCCCCCGCTGCGCCTCGACACCAACACCTCCGCCTACCTCATGAGCCTGCTGGCCAAGTGAGGGACCCCAGTAACCCCTGCCCCTCCCCCCCACAACCCCCAGGCCAAGCACCCCCTCCCAAGCTTGCTGAAGCAATCCAGGCGTTGTTCAGTGTCACAAGGTGTCACTGTCATCCCAGTGTCATGCTGGGCACCCCATGCCATGGGCACTCCACTGTGTGGGTGCTGAGCTCCCTGGGCATCCCACTGTGTGTGTGCCCCATTTCTTGTGTGCTGAGCTGCCCAGGCACCCCGCTCCCAAGTCACTGAGCTCCCTGGGCTCCCCACTCCCTGGGTACCCCACTGCTCCCTGGGCAACCCCTCCCTAGGCTCTCTTATCCTTGGGCACTGACCTCCCCATTCATCCCCATTCCCTGAGCCCCCCAAGTGCCAGCCATGCCATGGCCACCACTGTTGCCTCCTCCTACAGTGACACACTGGCAGTGGTGGCCTCAGACCACCGTCCCTTCAGCACCAAGCAGAAGGCCATGGGCCGAGAGGACTTCACCAAGATCCCCCACGGTGTCAGCGGGGTGCAGGACCGCATGAGCGTCATCTGGGAGCGTGGCGTGGTATGGGGGGGGCCTGGGTTTAGTGGAGGGGTTCCAGCTTTGCAGGGGGTCTCTAGCTTTGGGGGTCAGGGGCCCCTTTCCCACCTCCCACAGGACAGGGTTTGCCCCCTCCAGTGTGGGTACCACCAGAAGGCATAGCACCCTCCTGCCCCTAGGTGTTGGGGATGGGCTGGAGGGCAGGGAAGAGGGGGCAGGACCCTGCACATCCTCACCACCCCACCCCGGCTCTGGTGGCAGGTGGGGGGGAAGATGGACGAAAACCGGTTCGTGGCTGTCACCAGCTCCAACGCTGCCAAGCTCCACAACCTGTACCCCCGCAAGGGGCGCCTCGGCCCCGGGGCCGATGCCGACGTCGTCGTCTGGGACCCCGAGGCCCCCAAGTAGGTGCAGCTGGTGGTGGAAGGGGGGGTCCCCATGACCCCTCAGCACCCACTCACCACCCTGTCCCATTCCACCACCGCCACCACCAGCACCCTCCTGCCCCTAGGTGTTGGGGATGGGCTGGAGGGCAGGGAAGAGGGGGCAGGACCCTGCACATCCTCACCACCCCACCCCGGCTCTGGTGGCAGGTGGGGGGGAAGATGGACGAAAACCGGTTCGTGGCTGTCACCAGCTCCAACGCTGCCAAGCTCCACAACCTGTACCCCCGCAAGGGCCGCATCGTCCCTGGCGCCGATGCCGACGTCGTCGTCTGGGACCCCGAGGCCACCAAGTAGGTGCAGCTGGTGGTGGAAGGGGGGGGTCCCCATGACCCCTCAGCACCCACTCACTACCCTGTCCCATTCCACCACCGCCACCACCCAGGACCATCTCAGCCAGCACCCAGGTGCAGGGTGGGGACATCAACCTGTACGAGAACATGCGGTGCCACGGGGTGCCTCTGGTGACCATCAGCCGCGGGCGGGTGGTCTATGAGAACGGGGTCTTCATGTGTGCTGAGGGCACGGGGCAGTTCTGCCCCCTCCGCTCCTTCCCCGACACGGTCTACAAGAAACTGGTGCAGCGGGAGAAGGTAAGGAGGGGGGAGGTGAGGGAAGGCTGTGTCTGTGCCATGCCATGGCTGGGAGCCAGTGGACAGAGAACGGGTGGGAGGTGACACCCATGGGAGTCCCAGCGGTGTGGGACACAAGGCAGAGCAGGACACGAGGCAGGCCTCCCCACCAGCCCTCTCCCATGTGCTGGTGGCACATGGGGTTTGGTGGCTGGTGGTCCCACTGTGGTGATCCTGAAATGTGGCCAAGCTGCCAGGGCTGTCCCCAGCTCTACCCTTTGCTGGGTCCTCCCCCTGCACCCTCCCAGGGCAGTCCCTCATAGTGGTAGTGGGGGTACCCCTCATGCCCTCCTGCCCAACAATGGGGGGCTGCACATGGTGCCATTGCTGCCAGAGAAGGGGCTAGCCAGGGGGTCCCAACGGTCTCAGGGGGGCTGGGGGCTCATGCCTAGTGCCGGGGGGTCCAGCTTGGGGGTCACAGGGCAGGGATCACCCTGAACATGCCCCACCCATACCTTATTGCTGGGGGAGGGGTTCAGCGTGGCATTGCCAGGGGTGAGGGGCTGTGCTTCCCGGGTCATCCACCCAGCCCCCCTCAGCCCCTGTCCTGGCACCAGCACTAGCAGCATCTGCTCCCGAGCTTCAGACCCCTCCCCACAGCACATCCCCCTGCCCACAGCACAGTCCCATCCCAACAGCACAGCCTCCTCCCCAACCTCACCCTCCCCATGCTGCAGGACCCCCAATGCTGCAGGCCCCTCCACACATCACAAACCTCTCCCCAGCCTCAACCCCTCCCCCAACCACAGTCTCCTCTC